TTTCTTGGACAGTAGGGACCTACCAGTCCCTACTTGTGGCAGTCCCTCCTGACAGCCAACTCACTCACTCTCTCTCATTCTTGTTGTCTTATTCTCCCACATTTTTTTTTTTTTTCTTTTCTTTTTCTAGCATGCTAAGTGTCAAGTGGCCGTTAAGGCCCTTTTTTAGGTCCTTCCTCTTAGTTTTGACCCTTCCTATGCCCATGGTGCAGTCCATTATATCTCGGACTGCAAGAGGCCTATTTTTCACATGGAGTCTCTTTTGACTCCATTTTCTTGAGGGAGTCCGATCCGAGATTTTTCGGATTGCTCCCATGCCTCCCACTTCATGTTTCTGTACTTTTTTTCTTTTCCTTTTGGCCTTCCCGTTTGCTGCTAGTGGTGTTGATATTTTTGACCGTCAAGATCTAGATCTTGACGGTGCAGCTTGTTTTAATTGTTTTCTCCTCATGCCGTTCCACCGTTTCTCTTGGGACCTTCACATGTCCTCGCCACTTGTCCCGCCGGTTGTCCCTGACACTTGTCCCGTCAGCGGTCCTCGACACTTTGTGCCGTCGGTGGTCCCCGACACTTGTCCCGTTGGTGGTCCCCGACGTTTTATCCCGTCGGTGGTCCCCGACACTTGTCGCATCGGTGGTCCCCGACACTTTGTCCCGTCGGTGGTTCCCGACACTTGTCCCGTCGGTGGTCCTCGACACTTCGTCTCGTTGGTGGTCCCTAACGCTTTGTCCCGTCGGTGGTCCCCGACACTTGTCTCGAATACCATTATTCTAACTTAGTTTCACGTGGTTCCCGATGCCCTCTCCTTTGGCGTCTACCGCTCTTTGGTGACCCTTTTCCCTTGTCTCTTCTTGGGCCTTGCGCGCGTCGGTTTCTCCGGCCGCGGAGCCGCCAAATTCGTGGTTTCCGTTAATTGTCATAGGCGGCCCCATGCTGGACCCTTATTTTCTAGCGTCCCACGGCCACCGGGATCGTCTACCTTTTGGCTTCCTTATTCTCTTGTCGCTCGTCGTGCTGCATTTGCAAAGTTAATGGCCCCTTGGCGTTTGTCATGCTGAACTCCAATGGCCCTCCTGGCCTCATGCTATGCTCCTATGTGCCCATGTCCTGGCGCTTACTTGCTTGCTGTCGCCGGTTCTTTTTCCCTGCGGTTCTCAACCCAGGGCATCACTCCTTCCGGTGGTCCCGTCTTAGGGCGTCGTTAGACACTCCGCGAGGACGTGATTCCAAGATTTCGTATTCGTTCCACCTGTCCTCGGAGATGAAATCGGAAATGAAAATGTGAAAACACTCCGAGGACAAAGCCAAATAGTCCTCGGATCCAAAGGACCTCGCGAGGTCCTTTGGGGCCTGAGGATCCGCGTTTCACGGAGAGGAGAGGGCATGCACGTAGAGAGACGTTACAACCGAGAATTAGAATCTTGGCGGCACCCTATTGGCTGAAAGCCTGAAGCACAATTTTTTCTCTTTTTTTTTCCTTTTTTTTCTGACATTGCTCCGAGGATGAGTCGTAAAACCGATGCTCCGATGATGAGTGTAACGAAGACAACAAAAACCTTGAACTTTTCCGAGGATTCATCCTCGGAGCCCGACCAGAGGAGTGTCTAACGATGCCCTTTGTCCTTTGTCTTTTCCCTCTCTTGTCTCCTTACTCCGGATTTCTCTACCGTGCTCAACTTGGTTATATGCAGGCTCTCGAGTGTCGGGATGTTATTCGGGACCCACCGGTCCCGACAACAGCTGCGCTAAGTGAAGGCGGGTCTGACAAGTGACGAGAGACCTAGTTTGTGTTTTGACGCAGCTGGGGAAATTCGGGCAGTTACGCCGCGTTAGTTGGTTGAATGCGCCCACGCCCTGCCTGCCAACCTCTTGGACCTTCATGCCCTTTATCATATGAATCGGAGGCAGGCCCTGGACCAGACGCAGGGCATGAACTGAACACAGGCCGACTGGGTAGCTGGACACGGGTAACCTCCCCAGGCCCTGTGGAAGATTCCCCTGGATAGGGGCTCAACCACTTGGGGTCTACCGGGAGCTTCTTGGGCGAGACCCACGTCAGCCAGGCAGCCCACGACTAGCAGGCTCATTCCATAAAGGAAAGGGCCTGGCTGCTGGTTGGACATTCGAGCACTCGCTGCTTATGCGCAAGCGCTGTTGCGTCGCTGCTGAAGCGAGTGCCTACACGCTCACGGGCGAGCAGGGAAGAAGCAGGCAGCCATAGCCGGGCTGGCCTGCTCGTTGCTGGATGGGGCGCATGGTTGTCCTTGGGTGAGTGTGGCATCTATATGGAGGATCGAGGTCGTGAGTGAAGTGAGGGACATACCTGGTGCTGGATGCGAACGACATTGGCCGAGATCTGCTCGTACTTCGGGAAGCTGTTGACATCACCAGCGACATTGTAGATAGGCTAGATAGGATCTGCCATTCGTAGAGCGCCAGATAGGGACTCGACATTGGTTCATTGTTGATGATGATGAGACTTCCAATACTGTCACTTGTGAGTTTTTGTTGTGCTCTTATTTGGATTGCTCAGGAACGCTGACGTCAAGTAACATCAAGAAGAAGTGAGGGAGGGGTAGGTTTCAGGTGATAAGTTCATAAACAATTCCACGCTGCAAACAACCATACGAATGATTTTATTTTTATTTTTATTAGTTAGATGTTATGACCATTAACACATCTGACAGACAACATAGGTAGAACTTTCTGTTTTCCTTAATTTGCTTTCTATTTGCGAACCTGTTTTAATATAGCTTCCTTTGTAGGAATCTGGACTTACCTGTTGAACCCAACTCTGTATCCTCTGACAATGCCCCCGATTATTTGTTTTAAATCGGTCTGACCACTACGCTGTTGACCCAACTGTGTATCCTCTGACAATGCCCCTGATTATTTATTTTAAATTGGTCTGACCACTACGCTGCGGTAGGCAGCAAAGTGTGTCCAAGTGCAGACAGTGTACAGTGCTGTATCATATGAGCGACAAAGAGTACCCTTATCCGGACGGCCGGATCTTGCATTCGTCAAGCCGAATACTCACGTTGATCCACGTATCCTTAGAAGCCGAGGGAGACCATCTTCTTTTCCGTCAGGCTAGGGAAAGGAAGCGTCAACTGAGGTTGGCAAGGGACGCAGAGGCAAGCAGAGCCTTCGTAAGTGAGGTAGCTACCTCAACAGCCACCATGGCCACCTCTGTGTAGCGGAGCTCCCAGGTCAGTAGTTCAGGGACTGTCACGGCGACGATCGCACATACCCAGAGTCGGTCCGCTGGTGTTATGGCTACAGTCTTCCCCCGAACAAAACGCACGTGCGTTTTATATCAATAAAATGCACGGGGTGCGCTTTATTCGTATACAATGCATGCGCGTTATGCTACAAATTTTGGGCACCGACTTCGGGAACCAGACCCCCCAATGAAGTATGTGCACTTACCTTTCAACAGACAAAGGCTCCGGGGTACGGTCCACATTACGGGAAAACACACGCACACACACAACTCGAGGGGGAAAAAAAAAATCGAGAAACGGTTCACATTAGGGGAAAACACACACACACATGAGGCCTAATAGAGGGGCCCCCTTCCACTACGCACCAAATGCGCAAAATGTGAATGAATCTTACCATTGAAAATGTAATTATACATAGCCACATCTTTTATTTATTGTGCATGTGGAGAGTAGTGGAGCGAGGCCCTGACTGTACGTAACATTCAAACAATCAGCCCCAATACGAGCTGTGCACAAGATTCGAACCGATTCGTCCGACATCGATGGAGTCTTGGAGCATCGCCATCACCCGCCAAGATCTGCCACGAGGCCATGATCGGCCATCACAGTAAGCTGCCAAGAGGACCTCCACACACACACACACACACACACACACACACACACACACACACACACACACACACACACAGAACACCTGTATGTTCTATTTGAATAGAACACCCGCGTGTTTGAATAGAACATGTGTGCGTACTATTCCAATAAAACATACCTGCGTACTATTTGAACATGCGTTCTATTTGAATTTCACGGGGTGACTTCGAGAAATCGACTTTTCCAGGGAAAGTTGAATAGTACATACGTGTGTTTTGTTTGGGGGAAGACTGTAGCCAACAATCAGTGTTAACTCCCGAGGAGGTTGCCATTCAGCAAACAAGCGCTTGCGGTGCATAACTACAACAGGCATTATATGAGATACAGGCAGAGAAGGAGAGAATGATTAGACGTCGAGCGAGGATGCAGCAGAGAGAAGCGGACATGCAGGAGTTAGAGGAGACGAATCTAACACATATGGATGATGATGTAAAGAACGTTAGGAGGGCCTTGCTAGATGTGGTAGAAATGGAGGACTACCATACCGATCTTTTGCAGGACATTCAGAGAAGTCTAGCCGTGCTGGTTGGGCGGGTTCAGGTCTCACCTTTACCATCTGGGCCAGGTGCCTGGGTTGTGGTACATCCTCCTCCCTTTGTCCCACCGGTAACTGGAGTAGTCTCATCCACACTTTCTTCGGTGTCGGTACAGGCCGCTTCCCATTTGGTTATGCCTTTGACTGGCGGGTTCTCAGCAGGTCCTAGTGTATAGATTCCTGTTCAGACAGTGTTCTCCCGACCTTCGTTGCAGACTGCCGTAATAGGGTAGCCTGCCGTCTCGCAACCAGCACAGCCGCAGGGCACACAACCCCAACAACAACAAGTGCGGCAGCCTGCACCCCAGGCCCCACAACCTGGAGTATTGCAGGTACTAGGATAAGGACAATGGGTTCCGAAGACTGCCATCACATCACCCAAGCCCTTCTCAGGTGATAAGAAGGGTGAGGACCTTGACACATGGTTGAGGACGGTGCCAGTCTATGCGAAATGCAAGTTAACCTTGCCTCACGAGGAAGTACTTGTGGCAGCCTCCTATCTTGAGGGGAGTGCAACGAGGTGGTTAAGCAGGTACGTGCCGTTACAGGGGCACGATCATGACTTTCGCGCTTGGGCAGTCACCCAGAGACTGGATGATTTCATCAAGCTGGTGGAGGAAACGTGGCATGACCCACAGGAGGCTCAAAAAGCCATCGACGGAATATTGGCTCTGAGCTCACGGAAGTTGAGGTCAGTAAGGGATGCCACAGACGTGGTAGAGCGTCTGACCTATGTTCCTGGATTGCGCTATGACCCTCAGGTCCTACTTACCACTTACCTGAGGTGTCTTCCTATAGAGATCAGGAATTAGTTCGCAAGTGAGGCCATGATCACGGTCCACAATTTCCCCTCGTTCAGCAAGAAGGCCCTAGATTTAGAGGCAAAGATCGGTCATGGGCACCAACCCACTACGGATGGTAGGAAAAAGGCACTACCTCCTAATTGGAAGGCCAAGGGGCACATCATGTTCGTCGACAACGATGGTACCACCATAGAGTTAGACGACGACTTCCAGATGGGAGTAGGGTCAGAGTCGGGTAGCGCAGAAGCTTCAGGGGGTGGAGCAGTCACTGCCTCAGTTCGGAAAGGAAAGGCGACCGGTATACGCTGTGGAGGTTCCCGGTCAAAGAGTCAATTAGACCCCAATGCTCCTCCATGGGAGAAAGCGGGGCTTACTGAGGAAGTGTGGAGCAATCGGTACGCTTGAGCAGCTTGTATTCGTTGTGACCAGTATGGCCATATGCAGTTCAAGTGCCGCAACCGGAAGGTCAGCGAAAAGATCCCGCCTACGATTGAATAGGCGCATACCTCCTCCGCTTCCCAGGGTAGCAATGTTGCCAGCACTTCTGGCACTGCTTCGGGAAACACGTCGGGCCAGTAGGAATTGTAGTTTTTCCTACTAGGGTTGAGATGGTGGATACACCCTCGCTGTCTTGAGAGATGGCCCAAGCTATTGACTCGGTACTCTGTTCGATGAATGTGTTCGAGTCCTTAGAGGAGCTAGAGGAGGAGTGGTCTAGACCAGACCCACTAGCTTCTTGGACGACCATGGCTAAAACTCCTAGGGGTGAGTTGTTCGTCGGCGAGGGAGTTATAGGCGGCCGTAAGGTTGGGGCCTTCTACGATACATGCTCGACGAGGAACTTTATCAGTCGCGCTTGTGTTGATTGACTGCACTTACAAGGGCAAGTGCAGCGCCTCGGCCGACCCGTGGAGTCGAATTGTGCCAACAAATAGCGCATGGTAGTTAATGACTACCTAAAAGATGTAGTGTTGTTTCCCGTACGCGGAAGGGGAACTGAGACACAAAATCTCGTTCCTGGTCAACGATGATCTATCTATGGATATCTTGCTTGGTATGTTCTACCTTTCGGTTGCACAACCTCAGTTTGACTGGGACCAAAAAGTGGTCAAACACACGCTGCCCGGTGGAGGGACTGCCAGATTGCGTAAGCATAAAGCTAGTAGTCTGATTGAGTTCTATGGGTGCATGTGCGAAGCCGCATTCTATAACTATTATAAGCAAAGTCCGGAGGAGGGTATGTACTTAGTGTATGTCTCTGCAGAGGGTGAGCCGGTGAAAATGCCCCCGAAGATAGAGGGTGTTGCATACCGTATAGGTGCAGACCAGAACAAGAACCGACCTTTCAATACAAAGTATAAAATAGCACAGCGGAAGACTTAGATACCAATGATCCGAACAATCAATATTGCAATGCAGCCCCAAACGTACCTCATCATCCTCATTCCATGGTGTGAAGGGGTCTGGCGCTTCACACAGGAAGACTGCGCCAGCCCCAAACATACACAGACRAAGGAGATGGGGGTTAGACGAAGAAGAGGGGAAGATGGGAATGTCGTCAACACCAAGTGTTCAGCACAGGCCCAAATAGTCCCTCGTCGAAATGTCTGAATCCCAAAGGTCGAGTCTGGATCCAATGTCGTCAAGTCTCAAGTCACAACCCTCTCTCTCTCGGTAGTAACCTGCGGATACTGAGAAGTCAGGTGGGGAGAGGGGAAGAAGAGA